CAAGAAAGTAAATAAAAGTTTCTATAATATAATTAAATAATACAAAAATGAGCAAATAAGCTATAAGGAGCACCTCTCAAAGATACTCCTGATGAAAGTAAGGATGCCATTTTAGGAGGATAGTATTGTCTAGGAGTCTCTTTACCCCTGGTCTCTCCCTGCTTTCTTGGAGACTCCACATTCCCTCTAGGCATGGAAACAGCTGATGTTTGTCTATGAAAGTGTATGGCCAGAGGGGACCAGTTTCCCAGGGAGAGCAAGACTAGTACTCAGATGTGCATGAAACACATTACCACACTGCCTCTGCAATGGGTCACTCAGACTGCCCACTATTACTGAATATAGAGAGATTTCATTTCATTTCGGGACCATTCTCTATTGAAAAGTATTTTTGATATTCAACTGAAACCTCCATCTCTATAACTTTACCATGTAGAGCCTAGAACAAGGACTGCTGGGCATCTATAACTTACAACACTTCAAAACATTACAGATACTTCACTTATAAACACAAGTTTAAGAACTATTGATCTAATTATATGGTGAGCTTTTTAAACAAATATGATTCTTGGTTCTACTGCAAAAAAAATCTGTTTTAATTGATTGGGGTATGGTTAAGACATCTGGATTTTTAAACCTCCTCAGGCAATTGTAATGAGTAGCCCATATGGTAAACACTGATCTAGAAAAATAAATGAAAGTTTTGTCCTTTATTTCAATCCTCCAAAATATTCTTTCTTTTTTAAATTGATATTTTATTTACTCTTTTTTCACCACCACATTTGATCCAGTGTACCAGATCTGGTAAGTTAAGATTTAGCATCTGGATTGAATACTAATAAAGATAATAAAAAGTATATATACATATATACATATACATTTACTTTTCCTCAATGAATAATACTAAAACATAGATACCATCCATTTCTTTTATAAGAAGTTCTTATATTTTAACTCTTCTCCTTCTAAAGTCATAGTGTAATTTCTACCCCCTGGCCCCTCAAAGTTAAGGGTGATGTTAGTACTTGCTTATTCAACTGGATAAAGGTTAAAAGGTATAAATTTCTTCTAGTATGTGATAATAAAAATACATATTTGGTCTCTGTCCCCAGTTTCTAATATAGAACTTGCAAAATTATCCTTAAGTGATAGTTGTGAGAGAAACATGTCTTTTTTAATTTTAATTTTTGTTCAAGTACATTTTCCTGTCTTTTACTCCCATCTCAGACCACTCACCCAGCCTTCCCCCCTCCCTCCCATTTCCACCCCCCCTTGCTAGTTTTTGTCCATGTGTCCTTTATACTTATTCCTGTAAACCCCTCCCCTTTTTCCTTGAAATTTCCTCCCCTCTCCCCTCTGGACACTGTCAGCCTGTTCTCTAGTTCAATGTCTTTGGTTATATTTTGCTCTTTTGATTGTTTTGTTGTTTATGTTCCTGTTAAAGGTGAAATCATGTGGTATTTGTCTTTCATCACCTGGCTTATTTCTCTTGGTGGTTTGAAGACTGGTACAACCACTATGAAAAACAGTATGGAATTTTCTCAGAAAACTAAAATTGGATTTGCGTTTTGACCCAGCAATTCCACTGTTAGGATTATACCCTAAGAACCCTGAAACACCAGTCCAAAAGAACCTATGCACCCCAATGTTTACAGCAGGACAATTTACAATGGCCAATTGCTGTGAGCAACCTAGGTGCCCATCAGTAAATGAATGGATCAGAAAACTATTGTACATTTACACAATGGAATTCTATTGTGTAAATGTGCAATTTACAAAAATTTTGCCAGTGCAATTGGCAAAAATGCAGCAGAAGAAAAGGAGCTCCTACCCTTTGCTCCAGCATGGATGAAACTGGAAAGCATTATGCTAAGTGAAATAAACATCTTTTTAATATGAGCCTATTTCAAATAATCCTGAGTTTATGCTAAAGAGGAGACTCAGTTGGTCCCTAAGTGGCTTTAGGATTGGGGCTATCACCACATGACTAGGGAATTGGAACTTTCAGTCTCAGCCTCTGGATCTTGGGGCTATGTTGACAGGCTGAATACTGAGCTAATCACTAATTGTTGCTAATTTAATTAATCATGCATGCATAAAGAACTTCATTAAAACCTTAAATGAAGAGTTCGGGGTTTGAGAGCTTCTAGGTTGGTGACTGTATCCACATGCCAGGGGTTATCACCACCCCCTCCCCATACATACATTTAATGGGGAGAGAAAGTTTCTGTACTCTGGATCCTTCCAGACTTTACTTTGTGTGGGTTTTTTTGTTCATTTGTGTCTTTTATAGTTATCCTTATAATTAACTTGTGATAGTAAGGTAACTGTTTTCTTTAGTCTGTGAGCCATTCTAGCAAATGACCAAACCTAAGGATGCAGTTTGGGGAATCCTTGATCTATATCCAGTTAGTCAGAAGTACAGATGACCCAGAGTTCTGATTGGCATCTGAAGTAAAGGACAGTCTTGTAGAATTGAGTCCTTAATCAATGTGGTCCATGCTAACATGAGGGAGTTAGATTCAGAACTGCGTAATGTGGAAAAAACAAAACAACTCATTTAGTATTAGAAGTGCTGAAAGTAGAAAAAACAGTGATCTGTTAGGTCAATATAAAACTTACTATGCCTATTTTCTGCTCAGCCCCACAAAACATTTTTCAGATTAAAGACATTCTTTTAGCCTACACCTCTAGGGAAATGCTGTGAATAATTTTACACTAAAATGTTATATAACAAAATATGCAATGAACAAATATAACAATAAATATGTAATATGAGAAATAAATTAAACTTTGCTGTTACTATAATATAACCTAAATAATCTATACTGACCATTTCACAGACAGAACCTCTAGGTTAGAAGAATAGTATTCTGTTGATTAGTATCTTTTGTGTATATACTTTGATCCATTAAATAATCCACCAATTTTTTTTGCATTTGGCTTTATTTATCTGTCTTCTTTAGAAAGATATCATAAGACATCTTGTTGCACATTTCCCTGAAGTCTTGGTCTAAGGTTTGTACAGCTTTCCCCTTGCTTAAGTAATTTATTGGAACTCTCATAGAAAAAATATTTAAGTTGACTAATGAACTGACAATAAACTCCACTGATAAAGTATAGATATCTATACCAGTGGCTTCTAAACACTGGGTCTTAGAAAATTCCCCAGCTGGCAGTAATATAGTAACCTGAGAAGATTAATAAATATACAGATTTCTAGTCTATACCTCATGGGATATGTTTCAATAGTCATATATTATAATCTGTAGCTCTGCTGAAAGTCAGATTTGGATGACTGAATATGTATGTGTGTGTATATATATATATTATACATACTATATAGTATTATATATAATATATATAAAACTATTTACATTCAATATTATTTTATATTAGTTTCATTTGTTCAGCATTCATTTTTTAACCTGTGTAAGACTGTCACATTATTGTAGGCTTTGGTATGCCAGGTGGTTAATAGAATGTTAAAATAAAGTTGGTAAGGGACTGGAGAATGGCCATTTATAAAGTGTTTCTCAAGTAATTCCAAAATAACTTTTTTTGTTCATTTGAGGACAAATATCTGAGTATTCACAAGTACTGTCTAATAGGGCAATTATATTTGTAAAGGTTCTCAGTTGCGAGTGTATAATTAATTATTTAAAAGATTTATTTCATGTTATTTTTATAGCTTATAAAGATTCTAAAATGTCATGGAGCCAAGATTGAACTACTTATCCAAGAACAGTGCAATTGGCAAAAATGCTTGATCACACTATGGGACTATGCTAATAAAAATGCCTCCCAGGCCCTGGCTGGTATAGCTCAGTGGATTTAGAGCAGGCCTGCAAACCAGAGGATTGCGGTTCAATTCCCAGTCAGGGCACACGCCTGGGTTGCAGGCCAATTCCCAGCAGGGGACCCAAGAGACGCAACCATACATTGACATTCTCTCCCTTTCTCCTTCCTTTCCCCTATAAAGATAAATAAATAAAATTCTTTTAAAAAATGCCTCCCATCACTGACTCTGGGTACATATCATCATATGTACTACAAGACCATGGATAGAAATTCCACCACACCTGATCTAGAAAATGAAAATTTCTGCCCTAGATTTAGGGTTCCTGACTATGACACTATGACAAGCTGTTCATTTCCACCTGCTAAGTCTCCTATATGTGCAGTGTAGAATATATGTAATGCAGATGCAACAAAGTCTGGGCAATAATCTCTGTAGCAGAGAAATGGAAGGTGAACATAGTAGAAGAAGGCATTGTTTGAGCTAGTTTTCAGTATTTCCCCCATAAACCTAGGTTATAGAATGTTGTCTTAGATTAAAATTGAATAGAGAACTTTTGACATGGTGTATTTACTTCCAAAAGTCTCATCTCTTGCCTACATTCTGGCTTATATGGTGCCTCAGTCTATAATATGTCTTAACATCTTGTTCCTCTTAATTGTTAAGTCTCAGATGCATTAGATTAACCCACAACTTTTGTAATCAAAGAATCTAATATTCATGTTGAAGAGCTTAATAATATGAGTTTTGTTCCTCCATGTTAGTAAAATTGGCACATAGTCATTTGTAAATGTTATACCCAGCTAGGAAAATTACAGCTAGGGCATTACCCAACCCTAAATCTGCAGTTCCTGGAACAGGATAATGAACAAACATCTAGGAACAATTGGGTTTAAAATTCTAGCCAAATAAGGTAACTAACCTGGCCCGCCAGAAAGTGCCCGCCAGCAGCAGCACCCACCAATCAGGGACCCTCGCCGTTTTTAAATAAGCCAATAGCTAACCGCCACCTCTGCTTCTGTATGCCTTTGCTTCCTTGCTAGAAAATATAAATACCCAGTAGTCTGTAAGCCAGGCGCCACTTCCATTTTGAAGCTCTGAGTAGCTACCTGACTCCGATCACAGTTGGGGAGGTTCGCCCCTGTGCGCAGGAAAATCTTTGGCCATTAAAATTTTTATCAATTCTTTTCCGGACTCCGAGAGTGTGTATTTACCCGCCGATCATCTACAACATTTGGGGGCTCGTCCAGGATCTACATACACTCCGAAGACCATCAACCGCCGGGCCCAGTAAGTTTCGGCAGAACTGGGGTACCCGGATCTTGGAAACGGTCTAGACCTCTTGAGCCCCGAGGGGGTAGGTGGACGCTACCGGCAGTCCCCCCGGGGGAGTCCCAAGGAGAGGACGCTCTCGGGAATCGGAGCTGGGCTCCCGCGACTGGGTCGCAATTGGTTTCGGTTTTCGCGCCACGTTGCGCAGCGATATTGTGGTTGCGTGAAAGGATTTGTGTCTGTGTGGGCGCCTTTTGTTGTTTGTCCAGAAATTGTGTCTAAAATTATATGTGTTCCCTCTAGGCTTAACAACTCTTTTAGTAGCCCTAGGACTCTGGGAGATCACCGAGGTCTCCCGCCGCAATTCCAAGATGGGACAGGGAGGATCTACGCCCAAGACCGCACTTGAATGCCTCCTAAATAATTTTTCTGATTTTCAGAAGCGCGCCCGGGGTTATGGGGCCCGCCGCCCGACCCTGAGGTACTGCGAACCTTCAGTGAACTAGAATGGCCCACCTTCAACGTAGGGTGGCCCACTGAGGGGACCTTCGATCTTCCCATCTTATATGCAGTACAGAGAGTAGTATACCAGGTACCTCATCCGGACCAGATGGTAAACATCGACGTTTGGGTGGACATAGCCACCGAGCGTCCAGGTTACATCCGGCCATGCCAGCCTGACCGGAGGAGGATGCAGCGCAGTGTCTGTGTTGCGGCGAGGGGGGGTAGTAGAGCCTGCCGCCCGAGGGGACAGGGAACCCCGGTCCCGGGTTCACAGGGAGCCCCGGTCCCGGGTTCAGCTAAGGAAAAGCCTCTTTTATACCCAGTTCTCTCCGAAGCCCCGGAGGACCCCCTGATCGAGCCTACTGCGGCGCCACCCTACAATCCTCCGCAACCAGATTCCACCACAGGAGGTGACCTCAGGAGCCCGCCCCATACCAGGGGCCGGACACCACGTGGGTTGCCTCAGCAGGGAGGCGCCGCCATTCTGCCTCTCCGTGAGGTGCCGCCTGGCCCAGATGCACCAGCACGGGCACCACCTCGACTAGTCTATGTTCCTTTTTCAACCAGTGACCTGTATAATTGGAAACTCCAGAATCCTCCTTTTTCTGAAAAACCCCAAGGCCTCATTTCCCTTTTAAAAACCATTTTCAGGACCCACCAGCCAACCTGGGATGACTGCCAGCAGATACTCCAGACCCTTTTCACCTCTGAGGAAAGGGACCGAATTATGAGAGAAGCAGCCAAGGCTGTGACGGGAGAAGAGAGGGGTACCGCAGAAGGGAGGAGGGAGGTAGAGGATGTCCTTCCCAGTCAACCTCCAGATTGGGATCCTAATTCGAGCGGGGGAAGGGAGGCGCTACTCCAGTATTGCCGGGGTCTACTACGGGGGCTCAAGGCAGCAGCTAAGAAGCCTACTAATTTTAGTAAAGTTAGTGAAGTAATCCAAGGTAGGGAGGAATCGCCAGCCGCATTCCTAGAGAGGCTTATTGAAGCCTACAGGGTTTATACCCCGCTAGACCCTCAGGCACCCGAGAACAGGAGACTACTCAATATAGCCTTTGTAACTCAGGCAGCTTCAGATATTAGGAAGAAGTTACAGAAAATAGAAGGATTCGAAGCGGAGAATATTAGCAAATTATTAGAGATAGCACAAAAGGTTTTCATCAATAGGGATGATCCTGAGATTGGTAGGGCAAAGGAAGTAGCCAAGATCTTAATTGCCGCCCAGAACCCAGCACCGAAGGGTGGAGGGAAAACGGAGTCAGGACTAGGACAGCGGAGTCAGGACTAGGACAGCGACGGGCGCCAATAGGCAAGAACCAGTGTGCTTTCTGCAAGAAGAATGGACATTGGAAGCGTGAGTGCCCAGAGTTGCAAGCCAAGGTAGCTCAGCAAAGGACGGGGGCTCCTGTCCTTCTCCAGACTCTAGACTGAGGGGGCCGGGACTCCATCCCAGTTGGCTCCCAGGAGCCCATGGTCACCCTACAGGTCGAAGGGAAACCTGTCAATTTCCTAATAGACACGGGAGCCACCTTTTCAGTTTTAAAGCAACCCAAAGGACAACTCCAGAAGGCAACTACAAAAACTGTAGGGGCAACAGGCAAGGAGGAGGCATACCCTTGGACCACAGCTGGAGTAACCGATTTAGGGTTGGGCACCATCACACACTCATTCCTAGTAATTCCAGACTGTCCGTATCCGCTCGGGAGAGACTTGTTGCGGAAGCTACAGGCCACCATCACCTTTAGGCGAGATTCAGAGCAGGAGAGTAATGAGGCCTCTCAAGAAGGAATGAGGCTAGAAGTCACTGTGCCCTTGTCGAAAGAATACCTACTTGCTGCCCTCCAGGAAGGTAAGGCAGAGGGCGGGGTCCCTGAGGACTTACTAGCTGAGGTTCCGGGGGTCTGGGCAGAGACTAATCCCCTGGAACTAGCTGTTCATCAGCCACCAGTAGTAGTCCAGCTGAAGGCCACAGCTTCCCCCATTCGGGTCCGACAATACCCGGTGCCAGCGCGCGCTAAGCAGGGTATTGCTCAGCACCTGAAGCGCCTCCTGTCGGCGGGCATCCTGCGAGAATGCCAGTCTACGTGGAACACTCCTTTGCTGCCCGTCCAGAAGCTGGGGACCCAGGATTACCGCCCTGTCCAGGACCTGAGGGAAGTAAACTCGCGGGTAGAAACTATCCACCCGACTGTGCCTAACCCTTACACCTTACTCAGTTCGTTGCCTCCAACGTACACTTTTTACTCCATACTAGACTTAAAGGATGCCTTTTTCTGCATTCCCTTAGCCCTGCAGAGTCAGGATATGTTTGCCTTTGAGTGGAACAACCCGGAAAACGGCCTATTAGGCCAGTATACCTGGACGCATCTACCACAAGGGTTCAAAAACTCACCTACCCTTTTTAGTGAAGCCCTAGGCCGAGACTTGCAGCCCTTCCTTGACAGCCATCCTACCATCGTGCTCCTGCAGTATGTAGATGACCTCCTGATTGCCACAACAGACCACCAGGAATGCCGTGCCACTACCAAGGAGCTACTATAGGAACTAGAAGGAATGGGGTATCGCGTCTCTGCCAAAAAGGCCCAAATGTTCAACAAACCGTAAGTTACCTAGGGTATGACTTGCGTAAAGGTCAGAGGGCTCTCTCTGATCAACGCATCCAAACCATCCTCCAGATACCCGAGCCCACATCGAAAAGGCAAGTACCGGAATTCCTAGGGGCAGTAGGATACTGTCGGCTCTGGATCCTAGGATTCGCAGAACTAGCCAGGCCCCTCCACGAAATAACAAGAGGGAGCGAGGAGACGTTTACTTGGACTAACAAGGAAAGACAGGCCTTCCAGGCCTTAAAGGAGTCCTTAACTACTGCCCCCGCTCTTGCTCTCCCAGACGCCACTAAGCCATTCCAGCTCTTTATAGCTGAGAAGAAGGGGGTAGCCCTAGGAGTACTAAATCAAGAATTAGGCCCCTGGAGAAGACCCGTGGCCTACCTCTCCAGGAAATTAGACCCTGTAGCCTCTGGCTGGCCGGCGTGCCTGCGGGCACTAGCAGCCACCTCCTTGCTAGTCAAGGAAGCTACCAAATTGACTTTAGGGCAAGATATCCAAGTTATTGGAGAGCATTATTTAGAACAAATTTTGCGGGCTCCCCCAGATAGGTGGCTCTCTAATGCGAGGCTAACTCAATATCAGGCCCAACTGCTGAATCCTCCAGCTGTCCAGTTCCTAAAGACGACTGCCTTAAACCCGGCGACCCTGCTACCTGTACCCGACTCCTCAATTGTCCATAACTGTTCTCAGGTATTAGAGACTATAACTGGCTCACGCCCTCGACCTGCGTGACCAGGCCTATGAAAAGCCTGACTTAGTCCTCTTTACCGATGGAAGCAGCTATGTCCTAAATGGTGAGAGGTTAGCAGGGGCCGCAGTAACCACTGAGGAAGAAATAGTCTGGCAAAAGGCTTTGCCAGCAGGGACATCAGCTCAGCGAGCAGAGCTAATTGGCCTCACTGAGGCCCTCAGACTGGCAAAAGGGAAAAAGGTCAACATCTATACCAACAGCCGGTATGCCTTTGCCACCGCGCACGTCCACGGAGCCATCTACAAGGAGAGGGGCCTCCTCACTTCTGGAGGTAAAGAAATTAAGAATAAACAAGAGATCCTGGACTTGCTAGACTCCATTTGGCTACCTAGCAAGGTAGCAATTATCCACTGCAAAGGGCATCAGAAAGGTGAGTCCTCCATCATTCGGGGAAACAACCTAGCTGATGCGGCAGCTCGGGAAGCTGCCGTCAAGACAGAGAAGGTGCTTCCAATAGTGCCCAAGCCAGAGCTACCATCCAAACCCAGATACACCCCTGACGAGGAGCAAGCAGGCCTTCAAGCTGGAGGGGTTAAGGACTCTGCTGGATGGATAATATTACCTGACTCCAAGATCCATCTACCTCTAGGGGTACTACGGGCGGTAGTACAAGATCTCCATTCTAGCACCCATTTAGGTCAGACTCAATTAGAACAATTGATAAGAAAATATTACTCAGGATCAAAGATAAGAGAAATCGTTCATTCAGTTACTACTAGGTGTCAGATCTGTGCTAAGGTCAATGCACAGAACAAGAAATTCCCCCCCTTAGTTAGATATAGAGGAAAAAGCCCAGGTGAGCTATGGGAAATAGATTTTACAGAAATGGTAAGAGGAAAATCTGGGTATAAGTATCTCTTAATATTAGTAGACACCTATTCAGGATGGGTGGAGGCTTTCCCCACAAAAGGGGAAACCGCCTCCACTGTGTGCAAACTCTTACTGAGAGAAATTATCCCCAGATACGGACTTCCATTAGCCATGGGATCAGACAACAGCCCAGCTTTCGTTTGGAAGGTATCTCAAGAGCTAGCCGCTAGGTTAAAGATAGAATGGAAGCTCCATTGTATTTATAGGCCTCAGAGCTCAGGCCAAGTAGAAAGGATGAATAGAACTCTAAAGGAAACCATAATAAAACTAAAAGAGGAGACCGGCGACAACTGGGTAGAGCTACTCCCTTTCACCCTTTTTAGAGTGAGATGCACCCCTTATACTGGATCCTGGACCCCTTATGAGATAATGTTTGGACAACCTGTCCCCATTATCCCCAAACTTTCCAGTGAAGAAATAGCCAGCACAAATCATAACTTCCTTAGGTCCCTCCAGGCTTTGCAACAGGTGCGACAGGAGATACGAGTCCTACGCCACCAGCCTCCAGCTGAGACAACCCGATAGCCAGCTCCACCTGAACCGGGACAATAGATCTGGGTCCTTAACCATCACTGGGGAAGCCTAGAGCCGAGGTGGATTGGCCCCTTCCAGGTCCTTCTCAGCACCCTCTCTGCAGTACGAGTAGCAGAGAAGCCCTACTGGATTCACCTATCACACACGAAGCCAGCCCAGCCCCCGGAGGACCACCAAGGAACATGGTGGATCAGCAAAGATCCCGAGCAACCGCTAAGACTGAAATTTCTCAAACAGTAAGACTTTTCCTGCTTGTAGTAACTCTGCCCCTAACCCATGGAGGATTCCAAGCTAGACCCAAGGACCTCCACGCAGCCCTTTTTGGACCACCCTGTGAGTGTAGAGGAGGAACTCGTACTGACTATGCCATACCCTCCTCCTATACACGGACCACGGATTGTCGAGCCACTGTAGCTTACCTAGCCTATTCTAGAACCTCCACAGGAGTCAGCCAGCCTGAATGGGTATGTGTACCAAAGCCTACATGGTTTCCTCCCTCTCTTACTCCCCTTGCTAGGGCCTTTACTGACAGTAATATTAATTTTAACAATAGGACCCATAATATTAAACAAAGTGTTTGTGTTCATCAAAGACAGAATAGATGCTGTCAAGCTAATGGTCCTATCCCAACCCTACACCATCTTACCCCAAGAAGATGAGTCAATGGTTTGACCACCTCCCCACAGAAAAGGGGGGAGTGTTATACCCAGCTAGGAAAATTACAGCTAGGGCATTACCCAACCCTAAATCTGCAGTTCCTGGAACAGGGTAAAGAACAAACATCAGGGAACAATTGGGTTTAAAATTCTAGCCAAATAAGGTAACTAACCTGGCCCGCCAGAAAGTGCCCGCCAGCAGCAGCACCCACCAATCAGGGACCCTCACCGTTTTTTAAATAAGCCAATAGCTAACCGCCACCTCTGCTTCTGTATGCCTTTGCTTGCTTGCTAGAAAATATAAATACCCAGTAGTCTGTAAGCCAGGCGCGACTTCCATTTTGTAGCTCTGAGTAGCTACATGACTCCGGTCACAGTTGGGGAAGTTCGCCCCTGCGCAGGAAAAATCTTTGGCCATTAAAATTTTTATCAATTCAGTTCCAGACTCCGAGAGTGTGTATTTACCCACCGATCGTCTACAACACCAGACACCGAGGGTTTCTGGAGTACAAGGTTTATTTTAATGTGCACAGGCCCAGAGGAGTCAATTTCCAAATTCTGAGCCCCAAACAAAGGATTCTTGAGGTTTTTATAGTTTACAGGGTCTTCTTGTATATGTAGCAAAGCGGGATACAGAAGCGGAATGCGGAAGTTTGTTCTAGCTAGGGGCAGAAGCAGAGTACAAAGGCTAAATTCCAAGGTCAGTTTTTAACAGCAGGGGTGTTAATCTCAGTCCTAGCTAATGCACTGTTGTTTACTTATCCCAGACAGCCCCATCATTCTCCCTAGGGAGCCTGGGGCCTGGGCAAATAAAGGTTAAACAGAGGTTTTTCAAAGTTTCCCATATCAATATAGCAAATGAATGGTCAAAAAAACATACAGATAAAAAAATTTAACAAATTGTGTTCTGTGTATATTACATTTTTAGTAAAGTGCTAACTTCTGTTTGGATTAATTATGTATGGACTAAATATTTTATCTCTTGCTAATATTTTAAAAGGCAACAGAGTAAGAAGTTAAGATTTTACATCAACTCTGTCATGTCTTAGATGTTTAAATCTGGGCAATCATTTTAATATTTTGTGGTCAGTTTTATTTTTGCATAATGGAAAGTCTATAAAATATATATGAGAAATCACTTTGCAGATAAATGTTTTTCTTAGTTGAGACAAATTTATTTACCTAGAAAATGTGATTTATTTGAGCTTTATGACACAAGTTACCAAAAGATCACTGATCTGCAATCAGAGCTGGGATGGGAGTAAAAGACAGAAAACTGTACTCAAACAATAATTAAACTTTAAAAAGAAAAAAAAATCCATAGTGATACAGGGTGCAGCCGGGGGGGGGGGCAAAAAAAAAGATTTGGAATGGTGTCCAGAATTCAAAGTGTATAGGAATATTGGAGAGACATATAGCATGTCCTCACCACCTCCCCCAAGGGGAAGAGATGAATAGAGCCAGGGCCATTGAGAGCTATTTTGCATAGCAACAGTTTTGCAGCTAACCTCTGGAATGATTATTTAACATATCTATAACCTTTAACTGGTTTCATAGATATGTTAAATAGCTGTGGCCAACTTTTTGGCCAGGTAGAAGGGGGCACAGTGTGGTTTTCAGCAAAGTGAAAGAGTACCACTCCACTTTGCCAGAATGGAGACCCCTGCAGCCAGATGAAATGGAGAGCCATGCAGTTTGGGGCAGAGTGAGGACCCCTGCAGTCATGTAAGGGAGAGCCACATGGTTTCAGCAAAGTAAGGGTCCCCTCTTGCCCGGGTGAAGAGAGAACCATGCAGTTTTGGCAGAATGCAGACACCCTCTTTCCCAGGTGAAAGGGAAAACTGCACAGCTTTACCAGAATGGAGATCCCTGCATCCAGGTGAAGAAGAAAGCCACATGCTTTTGGTGGAGTGCGAACCCCTGTAGCTTTGGTAGAAGAGGCCCACACAGCTTTGGGGTGCCCCCTTTGGCCACATGGCCTGGAAAGCAGGAGAGACTTTGACTGGAACTGGGTACAAAGAACTCTTGCCAGTGGACCATGAGAGGGTGATGCGGGAAACTTTGAAAAACCTTTTGTTCACCCAAACCCCAAGCACCCTGGAAAGAGGGATAAGGCCATTTGGGAAAGCAAACAACAGGATGTTCTCAAGGACTATGATTAGCCTCTCCCCCCTCCCTGCAGTCAGAACTAACTTACGCATTTGGCCTTTGTGCTCTGCTTCTGCCAGGTAGGCATAGGGAGCCCTGTAGCCAGAACTAACTTCCGCATTCTGCTTCTGTATCCCACTTTGCCACGTAGACAGGACGACCCTGCAGACTATATAAACCCCAAGAACCCTTTTTCAGGGGCCCAGAATTTGGAGGCTGACTTGTCTGGGTCCACGCGCATGAAAATAAACTTCCACTCCATACATCCAAAAGCAGCTGAGTTGTTTTCTGTAACAAGGATACCACAATACTTTGGATTAACAAGAGATCCTGCCTGACACAACTGACAATACCATAGCCTGCAACACAGCTGTGTGCTCTTTTCCTGATTTACAGTACCCGGAGTTGGGACAGTGGGAGAAGGGAGCGCTGTGTGGGTGTAGGTGTATACCCTAAAGGACTTTGATATTTTAGTGGAGGCATTAGGCCTGAATAGCATTAAGTAAACATTTTGTTTCCTTCTCACAAATCTCTGGCATTGAGAGATGTCTTTCCAATTGGCAGCGGACAGAAGAGCCCAGTAGATACTAGTATTCTGTCCTTGGGAGGGGCCCCTGTTCTGTAACGCCATGTTTTTCTGTCCATGGAAAGTGAAAATAAAGCTATTCCCTCCCTTTTGGCATACAAAAGGACCAACATAAAAAGAAAATTTTATTTGCCAAAAAAGAGAACTCAACTGTAAAGTTTTACAATTTTGATTTTTCTTTATCAAATCCATAGTATATCTCAAAAGCAACATTTATTACAGTAGTAAAAGTTCCTTAGAAACAATTGTACTTCCCTGCAAAATAATATTATACAGGTAGAAAAGTCACCATTTTACATGAATTTTTTGAATTTTAAAGTTTATAAATATTTCAAGAAAGTGTGCTCGGTGTTCAGTAAGTGTTCTTCGACGTAATCATTTGCTTCCTGCTTGTTCATGAGGAAAATCTTCTATAATACAGCTGAAAAAATAAGACATAGTCATAAAAATTTGCTATTCTTATCTCTTGGGTTAGAGTTTAGTGCTTCCTCACCCAAAAGCAGTTGCGCTGTTAAGCCACTTTTCAAGAAGCACTACTCTTAATTGCCAAGAGATAGTTCACAGAATGCTACATAAGTAAATACTTTGACGCCTCAAAGGAATTTATGTAATGAACCTTCACCTCTTCTGATGCCAAGCAAGGCATTCCCTTGAGTCCACTTTAGTTAAAAGAAAAGGAAATAAAGACAGAAGGAAGAAAACTTTTACTTTCTCTCTTTTCTAAGAAGAGACAATGCCCATTAATTTCACTCATGCCATCTCTGACCTTTATGCTGTTGATATTATACAAAGGAGTACTGGGGACCTTCCCTTTCTATTAGATGAGTTAGACTGTGTCTAACAGCCTTCAGAGGTCACACTGAGGCAGTGTTCTAACACTCAATGTGATATATAAATAAGTGCAATGAAATGTTATACAAAGAAAGAGAGATGATAAATTTATTAAAATATGGACATTAGGTTTAAAGAGAGACATGACTTTATTCTTAACTACTCATTTATAAATTCTTAAACTTAAGTGAGAACTGTAAGAAAGTAAAAATCTTATCGTCCTCACCACTGAGAATAATGGCCTTTTGCTTCCCAATTCAGGACACTTGCAGGGTGATTGATTAAACAGTTGTCAAGTTATTAACACTTCAGTGGTGGATTATATCTTACTTATTATTATCTTTCCAACAATAAACAAAGACATAATAAAGAAGGTCAGTATTTTCAAATTGTGGATAATCCATTCTAAAATCCCTTGGTGGTTCCTGACTAGCAACCAGGTTGAGGTAAAGAAACAGAAGAAAGAGATAAATAGTTAGGTGATAAATGATAAATAAATGAATAGATGGTATATCTGGTATATATATATATATATATATATATATATATATATATATATATATATATATATAATATGTATATCAAATACAAAATATATATGAGAGCCTGGCTGGCGTAGCTCAGTGGATTGAGCGCGGGCCTGTGAACCAAAGTATTGTGGTTTGATTCCCAGTCAGAGCACATGGCTGAGTTGCAGGCCAGTTCCCAGTGGGGGACACATGAGAGGCAACCACACATTGATGTTTCTTTCCCTCTCTCTTTCCCTTCCCCTCTAAAGATAAATAA